AGTTGCAGTGATACACAAATAACTAGTTTACCAACCTTACTAAACACCTTAACAGAACTCTATTGTTATAAAACTCAAATAACTATTTTACCAGCCTTACCAAACTCATTAATTAAACTTTGGTGTTTTGATACACAAATAAATAGTTTACCAAATTTATCCAATTCCTTGACAGATATCAAACCTGAGTCTTTAAAAACTCAATACTTTAATAATTATTCTACAAAATCTACCTGAATATCTTTATTAATAACCTCTTAAACCTATTAAGCTTTATTAGTATATAGACATTTAGTAATGTTATTTTAATTTAAATTGATGTTTATATTCAATTTAAAGATTATTTTTTTTTTATTTATTATTTCTTAGCATTACATTTTAATATATCATTTCATATAAATTGTGGATTTTGATATTTATGATAGTTTTATCAATATAATTAAATAAGTATTTATCTTTTCTCTTATATGCATTTTTATATTTTTTAAAAAAATATAGTAATATTAAATATTTGGCCTAATGTTATCAATATAAAATTTTAATATGCTTAAAATATGATTATATTCAGGTTATCGATTATATGTATCTTGATAAACATTTTATAAAAAACATAAGGATAATTGTTTTTATAAAGCTAATTTAAGCATTTTATTTTTTAAGGTCAACTAATTCAAAAAAATAATTATCTATAATTATTATTATAATTTCAATTTTTCTTTTATTTTAACAAATTTATTTTACATTGCAGTTGAGTAAAAAATCAAAAAATTCTTATTTAAAATAAAAGATTTATTATAAAACCTTTTATATATAACAAAATCAATATTTATAGACATCTAATTAAAGGATTACATATCCTAGATTTTATAATCAAATTTTTTAATTTGTTATTTCTAAATTATTCATTGGTATTCAGTTTTTTTGTTTATGTATTTATAAACAATTTTAAATGCAAGAGAAGGTTTTTTATTGAATAAAATGGACTATATTTAGGATAAATAAAATATCCTTCTTTAACTCATTTTTTTTGCAAAGCATAATGAAGTAAAAAATCAGGTAAGTAATAATAATGACAAATATTTATTTAATATTATAAAATTAGTGTTGCCTTAACGTTATCATTTTACACTTTCGCTTAATCAATATTTTAAATTTTATAAATGCCAAGTATTAATTCTATTTAATAAAATTATGCAAATTACAAAACAATGATATAAAAATTGAATTATAAAATACTAATAAAATCAGAGGTGTTTGTTAAATAGCTTTGGTGAAAAGGAATTTTAGTGAAATTGTCAGTTAAAGTTAGTATTTTAAATAAGTTTAGTAAAAGGCTATCAGTTAATCTTTTTGCAATCCTTTTTTCATGCTAAATAAAAAATCTTTAATTTTTTTAGTAAGATAAACAATTTTTTTCATTTTTCAATAAAATTTTTTATTTCATTTTTAATAATAGGTATTCTTATTAGTATTCCGCACGGATTCAGATCAGATCTGTCAGATTCGGATCTAATTCAGATTCAGATCGGATCTGGATTTCAACAGATCTGTCGGATTCAGATCGGATTCGGATCCTGACAAATGAAAATCAGATCGGATCAGATTTGGATAAAATCTGATCTGATCTGATTTTGCAGAACACTAATTCTTATTATAATTTAGTATTTTTTACTAATAATAATTATGATATTTATCTCAATCTGAAAAGGTTTTGAGATTACAAGTAATTGATTAAAATAAAAGTTTACATTTTAATATGATAAAACATAGTAGAATGTTAGTAAATAAACTATTTTATACATGTGACAGATGTTCTTCAGCAAATACGAGAAAGTTAAAATGTATATATTGACAGACGTTTTATACAACATATCCGACTCTAATTCTATCCCAATTATAAAATTTATTAATTTGTTAAAAAAAAAGTTCCCGGATATAAAAAAAAATAAAATTAACAGAAAAATAAAAAAAAAAAAATAATACAAATTATTTTATAATTGCCGGTACACAAGTCAGAATAAGAACATACTTGGCATTTATATCTATAAGGGAACAAAGAGAAACGTAATTAAAATTTAATTAACAAGGTAAGGACAATTATTTTGTAATCTATAACTACGACTTTGTTGGTTTCTAGCATTGTTCCTTTTCATTCACCTTTGCCATAATAATCACAAGTAATACCGGCATGAACTCCATCTTGACAATGTTCTTCAGTTTGCATGTACTGAATTAGTGGTGGCAGTTCATCGAACTCTTAGCTTCCACTAGTTCTTGAAACATTCCACCGCGCATTCTAAGTACAAAGTGGATGGACTCTTTTTGGAAAGAATAGTCTGATAGGGTGAGATCTTCGGTCAACAGTTTTCCACAAAATTAAATCGTTGTTCGTCGATGGGAATGCCTGTTTCATATTCGACCAGTTCTTTAAGGGTATAGACGGTGTAATTTCCGGATACATGCAGGCATACTTGTTCTTTAGTTAACATTGCACAAAAATTTGGAAACCATGATTTCAAGAGATAAGGATTTACTTCTAAATACAAGATATAATGTAGACACCTCTTTAATAATGTAATAATTTAATGTATGCTTATCTAGAGATTGGAACCAGCCAAAAATTCTTTAACCGGTTAATAACCGGTTAAAATATTTGTTAACCGGTAAATTTATCTGTTAAAAAATCTTTAACCGTTTTAACCGGCTTCAACCTCTATGCTCATCTATACTTGTTGTTGATTATAAAAAAGGCGCGATTGACCCAGAGAAATTCATTCTATATCTTGAATCGATAATTAATCCAACAATGTAGCTCAAAAATATAAAAAATGTGTTGCCAAATTCTACATAAGAAATTTTGCATATCTTGCATAGAAAATCATATGTATACCGTCCTGCCCGTCAACATTTAAAGTTTTTTTTTGTTACGTAAAATTTTATTTTCACCTCCTTAGATTACGAAAAACTTTTTCATACAGAAGACTTAATTAATAATGTTATCTGTATAGTAATCTCGCATGGTTTTAAACATTAATAAAGGAGGTTGATTTTAAACAATATAAAAAATGAAAGCTACAAGATTAATTGTAATGTTTTAACGAAATGCTAGTATACTAAATAATTCAAAAGGGTTGTTTACTTAAATCTAATTGGATAGAAAGGCATTCATTAATTCTCATCCTTCAAAATTTGAAACACTTCATAATCGTTTATTGAAAAAAAGCCATCTCTTATGATACTCTTTCATAAATTACTTTCTTATAACAATTGCAATCATAACTTCCGTTTTTATATAAAAATTCAAACATAATATCATTTACCAAAAGATGGACCATAATTACTGTTGGTAAAATAATGCCCGCGCATGGTTACTCACGAGTCTTAAAATTGAATCCTTAAAATAATTCCTACACTGTATGATTATATCCTCTAATAATTTCTTCTGTGTGATATAGTTTAATGAATGTAACGGTATGATGTACATGTATATTATCACATAATTCATGATACATTGTAGGAGTAAACCCATCTCTGCTACCTCTTAATAATAATTTAAATATATATGGCAAATTTAATTCTCTTGCATAAGCAAATTTGCTATTTGTTTCTACCTTATCAATTCATCTTGAAGTTATGAAGACAATAACAATTATTCCACAACTTTCTACAGCTGGGTAATAAAATATCATCGTTTGGCACACATTCAGAATTAAATAAGAATGTAACGAATTTTCATTAATGTTTTCAAAAAGCTTTTATACGGATGAACTTTTTGACGAACTCGTCAGAGATAAACTAAAAAATAAATCTAACGAAGGGTAGGCAATGTTGTAAGGTATTTCCATCATTTTGAAATTCATCCGTCAAAGTCGAGAGATGTGAAATAAGCGTAGGATTTTTTTTAAGACTCCATTTTAATAAATGTTCCCAAATTTCATTTTCTTTCATTTGTAATTCATCTCTCTTGAAAGTGAAATGAATGAATTTTCAGGAAGCGATGTAAAATCAAGTGAATGAATTACCTTTTAACCATAAAAAATTTGACGCTTAACAAAGAATTAAATCTTTAATTATAAATTCATTGAAATTGTAATTTTTTGTGAGAAATAATTTTCGAACCCTAAATAAAAACGCTCGGGTGATCGGCAATGAAATAATTAATTGTACGACCAAAACGTTTTTTTTCCGTTCCGGTCTGTTCAATATTTATATATTATTTAAAGCTACGCTCGAATTTATTCATCTTGCGAAACATTTCGGAAGTGATTCCTACGTCACGGTAGTACCGATTCCATGATTATAAAAGTAAAAATGATAAAGTTTTTTTTTATTTAAAAAATTAAAAAGGGAATTACCATTCTCTTCATTATTATTTTGCGTTCTTAACAGGAAGGAAAATGCCAGATAAGCTTTTCGAAATTTAAATTTAAAATAAAAGGACTTACCACTGCATATTTCCTTCTAGGAGTTTTCGCGAGTTTCGCAATGAATGTGAAAAAAAAGTTTAACTTAATTTAATTTTTTTTATAACAAACAAAAAAATACTAAGCTTTGTACGCCGGAGCTTGAGTGAGCCAGGACGGCTTAAATTCAAATGAATAATATCTAAAAATTTCATTTAAATATTGAAGAAATTTTATAAGAATTAAAGGTAATTCTCGCTTAATAAAAAAAAATTATTAACAAGCTTTTCACTTCATAGAAAATTAAAGCATACAATTTATATTTAATGTTATAATGAAACATAATTTGCATAATACATTAGTCCTTTTACTAAGATCAATGCAAATCACATTTTAAATAGCCCACAAGTTCATCTATGTATAAAAAAAATAAAAAAAAATTCAAAAAATTATTCAGTACGTATAGAGATCATCTCGTCAAGCCATACCGATTTGGAATAAATCAAACCTCAAACCGGTATTATTAATTCCAAAAATATATAACTTCAAAATTTATAATTTTCCCACATTTTTCTTTAAAATAAAAATTCAATTGAAATGGATAAAGATGAATTTTTACCAAAGTTAACCCAAAACTTTCTAGAAATTTTAGATGACGATGAATATTATGATATTACTATTGAAATTGGTAATGACCCTCATGTGAAAATTTTTCGAGCTCATATGAACATTTTACATTATCGCTCCCCTTATTTTCGAAGAGTATTGTCAAATAATCAAAGGAAGAATGATAAAACTTTGATGCATGTTAAATTACCAAACCTTTCACCTGAAAATTTTCAAATTATTTTAAGGTAAATTGTAATAAAGTTATTATTTGATGTTACTACTTATTTAAAAATTTCACAAATTTAATTTTTCTATCTCTAGATACATTTACGGCGGAAGACTTTCTTTGAAAGGTTTTGATGCTTCGGAAATAGTTAAAACCTTGGTTATCGCCAATGAATTAGGTCTTCAGGAGTTAATCCCCTATAAACAATCTATTTTGATTGAAAATAAAGAAAATTGGTCGGATGAAAATTTACATCTGATATATCAAACAAGTTTAGAAAATGATTCTTACCTTGAACTTCGAGCAGTTTGCACAGAATTCATTTCAAATGAACCGGAGAAGTTCTTTGAATCACCATATTTTATTTTAGTTCCAAAAAAAGTTTTGATCTCATTAATTCAAAACGATAATCTCAATATGAGTGCAGCTAAAGTTTGGGAATATGCACTTAAGTGGGGTCTTGCTCAGAATCCAAATCTTTCCTCGGATCCTTCTAGTTATTCACAAGATGATTTTAATAGCTTAAAAGGCACTTTAAAAGAATGTATTCCTCTGATTAAATTCCATAGATTAACTTTTAGAGAATTTTTGAAAAACGTTTATCCATATAAGAAAATAATTCCCGAAGATTTATTTGATAACATGATTATATCTTTGTTAAGTAATGACAGTGAATCAAATATCGATGAATCAAATATCGAATCTAGAAATATTATTATCGATTCAAGTATTATTACGTTTCAACATGCAGAAATCATCACAAAATGGATTGAAAAATTAGAAATTACAGACGAGATTACTGCTTCATATGAATTCAAATTATTATCTCGTTTTCAAGATGGTGATACAATAAGATATTTACGTGAATTTCCGACTATAACGGTTATTAAAGTGAAAGGAACTAATGAAATTCTTGGAGGGTATAATAACCCAAACGCAAAAGGTACGATCGCAACAATCGTAGGCAATGCATTCTTTCAATCTAGAAAAACAAAAGATAGTTTTGTATTCTCATTTAAGGATAATGATATTAATAATCATATTTTAAGCCGTATAAAGAATGAAGAATTTTCTATATGTAATTGCCTTAGATTTGGTTACTCAGATCTTAAAATATTAAGCTCTTTTTATGGTAGATGTGAAATGTCTGATTATGAAAAACCGATCAGGGACACTGTAGATGGATTTGAAATAGAAATTTGTGAAATATTTTTAATCACAAAAATTAATGCGGAAGAATAATTTAAAAATAATCTTTATTATGGGAATTTCGCAAAAGTTTATTCCTATAGAAGGTTGATAAAATAAAAAAAAAATATGCGTCAAATAATCTCCGCTAATTCTTTATGTAATACAATTTTAATGTAATGCCAGAAATCAACCTTTGTGAGTCCGGAGCACAAAATTGCATTTTATTTCATTTAATATTTTTAGTTTATTCTATTGTAGAATGTTATAGTTTTATTAAGTGATAGTCGAGTCGGGTTTCTGTAAATATTTATGGGCTTGGGTACGATATGTTTCAAACTCGAGAGCACTACTTAATTGTAGCTTATTCAAAATAAAAACAATTTTATATACGGTATTATGTAATTGTTAAAATTTATTTGGAATAAATACCTTTTAAATATATTCAAAATATAAAACGGTAAAATGGAGGTGTTTGTTAAATAGCATTGGGGAAAAGGAATTTCAGTGAAGTTGTCGGCTAAAGTTAGTCTTTTAAACAGGTTCAGTGAAAGGCTGTCAGTTAATCTTTTTGTAACCCTTTTTTCGTGCTAAAAAAAAAATAAATTTTTAATTTTTTCGGTAAGATAAACAATTTTTATTATTTTCCAACAAAATTTTTTATTTCGTTTTTAATAATAATATTCTTATCATAATTTAATATTTTTTACTTATAATAATTATGACATTTATTAAGATCCAACTCAATCTGATAAGGTTTTGAGATTACAAGTGATTGATTAAAATAAAAGTTCACGTTTTAATATGATAAAACATAGTAGATGTTAGTAAATGAACTATTTTATACATGTTCTCTAGCAAATACGAGAAAGTTTAAAATGTTTATGTTGACAGATCATTGATTATCAATAAATCGGGTATCTATTAAATGAATCCGTCTAATTTTCCCACACTCTCTAATTTTAGAAGCTTTCAAAATGATAAATTGTGAAACATGTGAAAGTTTAAAGAAAAAAAATAACAATTGTAACGGAACTTCGCTTTTAAATGGTTTTTTGATGGGCTGCCGTGCACATAATAGGAAGAACCATCACAAACTTTATAAACATAAGTACTATTAAAAAAATGGTCCTCATTCGTTGAAAGGTCTCTGGAATACAAACACGCGACGGAAAATATTTATTACCAACTAATATATTGTGTAACAATACCCCGTAATCAAGTATTACTGATACTATAATTACTTGGGCACCGATTCTAATAAAATCGAATTAATCGAAAATCGAATCGAAATCGAATCTATTTTTGGACATCGCGCATTACAATATTAAAAAGTGTATCTATCCACTGTATATGGAGAGGAAGTTGAATTAGATTTTAGTTGCAAAATATATGAACGAATGTAAATTATTTGACAAATATTCATGTCCAATATTCAAATAAACAAAATATCAATAAATGGGAGGTTTGCTATTAAAATCGAGTTACGAACATAATAAATCATATGATCCGTAACGTGATTTTAATAGCTTGCCTCCCAAATATTAAACCATAATATTGTATAAATTGTATAGTATTATTAAAAAAAATAGATTTTCGCGATTAATAATTATTATTAAACTAGTAGTTTTTGCACTAGTTAACATGACGTGAAATAATTTTTTTTAACTTTTAGCATATCAAAATTTAAAATAAGTAATACAATTTATTGATGCTTTTTTATAAATAATCCAACCCTACTAATCTTAACACTAACTCATCGTTTTATAAAACATACCCGACTCTAATATCCCTAATACCAATTCTAACATTAACTCGTAACTGATGTAATTATATATTATTATTTAATTTCAATTTTTAATGATAAATTTAATTTATTTTAAATAATTTAAATTTTTTAATTTTTATTTTATTTATTAATTATTTTTATTTTTTAAATGTAATTTATTTAAAAAATTTGTTAAAAAAAAATTAACGGAAAAATAAAAAAAATAATGCAAATTATTTTATAATCGCGGGTACACAAGTCATAATCAGAATATATATCTATAGGAACAAAGAGAGGGTTACAACTCTTACGTCATTATAAATCTATTCTAGAGCTTGGTTGGTCATGAACTTGTTCGCAAGACTTTTGTCGTTTCTCGATAGCTCTGCGAAACCAGGCTTGAGTGTCTGTGGTCGGCTCTGAGGTATCCTTGGAAACAGAAAATCTTCGTCTCCTTCACTGTCAACAACAAAAGTGATTGGATCAATGCTTTCTCGATTCGTTGCGGTACAGATTTATATGCTGGAACACTTGTTTCGAAACTTCCCTCGACAACTACTGATGATTTGATCCTCAAATGGGAATCTTGGAACCTTCGTTAGATTTAAATTTGAGTATCATTCAGCAAATCTCGGGACACCTCCCATTGGTATTGGACTATAACTAAGTATTTCTTTGATCTTTTTATTTATAAAAGAGAATTTATTGTTCAGATATTTGAAAAGATTAAACACCCTCGTCGCAAAAGTGAGTTCGTCCATGCCAATAATTAATAAGAGCCGTATCAGCCGAAGGATAAATCAAGAATTCGAGTTGATGAACTTGTTCAAGAGAATTTTTGATTGCAGCATTATAGTTCTCCTTTCGTATGGTCTTCGATAATCCGGGATGGCGCTGTAATAAATGCGTCAAAATAATTAACGAGATAAGCCCGAGGTATGCAAAAATTGCAATATCCAGGAATGACCGCGAAAACCAACAACACTTTGAATTCCACAAGAGATACAAGGTCTGAAAAGGCACCAGATGTAATTATGTTGACTCTTTCAGCGTGATTGATAGCGTATTGAATAAATATTTTATGTGCATTATCGCATTAATTACGCAATTATAATGATTAGAATGGAGCCAAGAAAAGAATGACGAAAGCCGCTTTCCAATTGGAATCGCTTTAAGATATCCATAGTAATCATTACCGACGGGTAAATCATTAGGGTGTAAAATCTCCCAATCAAACTTATCAATGCACCATTCTTCTCGCAACTGCTGAAAAACGAACATACATTTTAACATGACCGCGAAGTTGCTGGGTTCATTGGATAATCTCCCTAGCCATATCTTATCAGCGGTCTCGATTAATCCATACCACGTATGATTAGCAAGCGGTGACTGATAGCGAATATGATAATTAATCAGTCTTTCAGTCCACCACCTTTCTGCTCATCTTTAAGTCAACGATGGCATTATAAATCCTGTCGCATCACGGTGTATTGGAGACATGCAAGTGAGAGGCGTTGAAATAGTATTGATGATTACGGAACTACGTCATGTTTTCGGCAATCCGACTTTTGACAGGATTTTGTATCTTTACAGATATAACTACTTATGTACGGAATATCTACCCTTCTGATTGACTTTCAAGAGGAGCTAGTATATATATGATACAAGTAATTGTGAGATCGCCTGGTGCACAACTTCCACATCCTATAATCCATACTTTCTGCCGTATCCTCATAAATAAGATGAACAAACGGGTTGTCAAGAGAACATTTCCGTTTCTGCTCACGATCATTTACCTTGCTCACAGCAAAAATGTCCTCGAATTCCTTGCGGATTATCGAATTCTTTTGACGCGGATCTATAAAAGGAAAGGCTAGATCTTCACACAACCTCTGCAAACGCTGCCAGTGCTCAAACTGGATATCAGATCTTTGGGGAATTTTCAGCCATATATTTGTTGCAACGAAATTCAGCAACAAACTCTGAAAAATTGCATGCATTCGTGAACTTTATTAAAATCTTCTTCTAAATAAGCGTTGTACATTATAACCGAAATTCTTCCATCAGGATCTTCCAACTCTCAGATCTCTTCAGCATCTTTGATAATTGTAATTCTATTTTATTGAGAGTCTCAATTGTGCAAATGAGATTGCGCAACACTGTGTTACTTAGACTAATGGTATCTTTTCAAAACATTTGCCCTGCATAAATGTAAAATGCACTGTTACGCTTAGATTACAACTTCATCCTTAAAGCCCGAACGAATGAACACTCGCCAGTGCAGATCTTCAGCAGCTTCGTGAAATTAACTATTTTCTCAGACCTTCAGAAACGCTTCTGGTGCATGGTCTTTTAGGATTTTGTATTGGAATAATGGAGAGGGCCTTCTCGCTCATCACCTTGTTGTTCTCCCAATTCTTTCAGTAGCGATTCAAGCAGAAAGACCAACCAAGCTAAAGGGCAGAAGGATAAAAATGTTCGATCGCAGCGGCTTGAACGATTGAACCTGTAATATTTATAAGTTAAAGCAAAAAAAAAACCAAACATTAAATTAATACCTCAAAATATAGAAAATGTAATCATTTGATCATCACAACTTGAAGCAAAAGTATAATAATAAAAAATTTTGGCAATGAATTTTCCTTTGATAACAAATTGAAAAATCGTTGCGTCATTAATAAAATAGATTAATAAAAACTCGAGAACGATTATTCGCGATTAATCAATTCTAAAATCTATTCTACACTTTTGAATCGATTCAATCACTACTTATATAATCATTAATTTACCCGGTGGTTGCTTCTCGTCTTCATGGTATCTTCATCTTTGATTCATCTTACCCAGATTTCTTTCAAAGCTGTTGTACTCCAGCTGCACATAGACAACGATTTTTAGTTTTATCATTTGTCACGATTCGTTTAAGGCGATTGCGTTGAGATATTGAATCAAAGGCAGACGTCCAGAATGATGCATCATCCAAAATCACATCTGAATAACGTAAAAAAAGATTAGCCAGAGAGAGAAAAAGTAAATTCAGAAAAAAAACAAAAGAATGATAATACAGAAAAGAGAATAAAAGTAATACATCATGATTCTGAAAGAATTGATCAAAAATGTTACCATTATGATACAAAATTTTAGCTCAAAGAAAAAGATTGATTTCATCCTCTGTCTCATAAATTTTCATCTGTGGTTAACATACAATCTTGTCATTACATATTGATTTCTATATACATGAAATTAAAAAGATTATTTCATTTGCTTTCACAGTATAACGTCGAATAAGTAAAGAGGGTTTTAGTTATTATTATTGAGCATTCCAGTAAGCATGGCATAAATTCTACAACCAATTCTTCATATCCAAAATAATCTATTAAAAAATTTTTTGGGGCAAATTTTGGCAAAAAATAAAACAAGTCTTTTATTTTCAACAAATATTGATAAGACCTTATTACATCGAAATTCGGAAGCTCTTACGTGAAGTCTAACAAATGCTGTTATCTGCACATTAGTTATATAACTAAGGAGTTTCTTTCGATCCAAGATGCAATAATAACCACCCAACAGTCGTAGAAAATCTATGGAATGTCGTCAAGAACGACTAATAAGAGAGACGACGATACAAAATTTTGTAGATTAAAAACATTTTATGGTTGACTCATCGGAAACCCATTGAAGTCGAAAGGTTTCGACTTTTGTCAAATTGGAATTTAGGTTTTGCCCCGCAACTTTAGTTGAACATATTTTTTTTTAAAAAAAAAATTATTTTTTGAATTTTTCGTTTTCCATACTTTTTGTTAAATGAAATGAACAAGAAAAATATACCAATGAGAATAAGAATGTAAAATGTATTGTGACATGACATGATAAACTTTAAAAAGACCGCGATAAAAATCACATGAACTTTGATATATTGAACTAAAAATATTTTCAAATCACATGATTAGATCCGCAAACACGTGATTTTTTCTATAAATTTAACAGCCCTAGCGTCGCCTAAAAAAAATGGTAGCCGGATTTATTTGCCGGGTCACATATACTTATTAGGGTGACATATAATTGTGACAATTAGCATTTTTCTCTCAATAATTTCTAAGTCCCCAGAATACTTAGTAAATTGAAGAACGGCTGGGATGTGACGCGATGTGACAAATTTGCTAACCCCTTAAACTA